GTATACAAATTACTAAATAGTCTTGCTTCTCATAACCTATACCCTTGAATTATCCTAGAATGCAGCAATTCTTCAGCAGAAAACAGTCCAATAAATCTGGAGGATGCTAGGCCGGGCAAGACTGAGCTGAACAAACAAGTCAGAAGCTGATAACAGCTGGCAGTGACTTTTTTATGTGCCATATCAACTATGTTATCAAGTTTACATTAAGTTCTTGAAGCAGAAAGAACTAGTGAGCTAGATAAATTATTGCTGCCTAATCTTTTATACAGATGGCAATTGAGCTACAAGAAATAGCAAAAAATGCAGATAAGGCTTAAAGGATATTCATTGGACTTAACAGAGTAACCACAGAACATAGTCATACCACGTTTAAAGAAAAGGTCATATAATTGCTATTTTATGTATTGTACCAAAGTATGTGCAAGCCCTAATAACAGTTTGTTAAACATATTATAATTGGCTTGATAAAAATATTATACTGAGCCATACATCATGGTTTATAATACCTGGATTAATATAGTATCTTACACAAAAGCTAAATAAACCACATTATGGCTGATCACAATCTGTGAACCTATCTTTTGTGATTTAGTGACTTTCAGGGTAGGTCAAATGGCTAGGCTCAAAAACAGTAGCTGTCATTTCTATAAGAAGGCTGGACATGTCAGTTGACAAATTACAATAAACAGAGAAACATAATTTATCAATATATTATATGTAGATAAAATGCAATTTTATCTAAATCCTTTGCTTAGCTAGGGTACACAAGGTATCCTGTACTTTACATATTTACCTCCCTCAGGACAGACATACATCACATATCTGCATAATTTAAAAATGAAATATAATAGGTAACTTTACTAATAAATATTTTCATACCAAAAACATATGGAACAATATACTGTAATACATGCTATAGTCTTGCCCATTTATCGCCATACTCTAATACCTATTAGACAGTTAAAAGAAACTTTAGCAAAATTAGAGGACAGGGATATTACAGATATAATCTTAAATCCCAGGAATAGTTTATAGAAATAAACTAGAAAGTCAAACCTTTTTTTTCAAGGAAAACAGTGACGCCTGAAAGAACAAATGATATTGGATATCTAACAGACGTCATTCATTGACTTTTTTTTATTTGTCTTTCCTAGTTGGAAAAGCAGCTTTTAATTACCCTAGCAACCAATCTATATATCTCATGGCTCTCAATGTTTATTGGGTTTAGAACATTTGTACAGGTAGCCCTCGACTAACAATCACTATTGAGCCCAAATATCTGTTGCTAAGTGAAACATTTGTTAAGTGAATTTTGCTCCATTTTATGACCTTTCTTGCCACAGTTGTTGAGTGAATCACTGCAATTGTTAAGTTACTAACATGGTTGCTTGTCAGAAGTTTACAAAGGATGATCACATGACTCGAGGACACTGAATTGTCAGAAATATGAGTCAGTTGCCAAGCATCTGAATTTTGATCACATGACCATGGGGATGCTGCAATGGTTGTAAATGTGAAAAATGGCCAGAAGTCACTTTTTTCAATGATGTTGTAACTTCAAACAGTCACTACATGAACTGTTATAAGTCAAGGACTACCTCTACATCCATTTTCAACCAGCCACTTTGGATCCAGCACAGGATCATCTGGCAGCCAGAAGCAAAGAAGGCATTTCCCAGATCAACCAAAAGCAATCATCCCAAATATCAATGTAATGGCAAGATCTCGGAAACCCGGCTTCCTGTCACAATTTAGGATAGGCAATCCTCAACTTACAACCACAATTGAGGCCAAAATTTCTGTTGCTAAGTGAGACATTTGCTAAGTGAGTTTTGCCCCATTTTATGACCTTTCTCGCCACAGTTAAGTGAATCTGGTTTCCGTATTGACTTTGCTTGTGAGAAAGTGGCAAAAGGTGATCGCATGACCGTGGGACACTGCAACCGTCATAAATATGAATCAGTTGCCAAGCGTCTGAATTTTGATCACGTGACCACGAGGATGCTGCAAGAGTTGTAATGGGGAAAAACGGTCCTAAGTCGCTTTTTTCAGGGCCGTTGTAACTTTGAACGGTCACTAAACGAACTGTCGCAAGTCGAGGACGACCTGCAATCCTTTCTACATAGCCTCCGATGCTACCCATAAAACAGGGCATCACCTTTCAAGGCTTTCAAGGTATTGGGGAGAATGCAGGGAAGTTTCTGGCCCAACCCTTGCGCGACTTCCTTCTTGCTCCCTCGGAGTGAGGGGGGGGGACGGAGGGGGGCCATCGAATATGAGACACTCGAACCCCAACGTTCCAGCCATGGAACCTTCAGCCCCGAAGGTTCTAAACCGGTGTTTCTCAACCTTGACCATTTTAAGGCATGTGGACTTCAACTCCCAGAATTCCACAGCCAGCAATGCTGGCTGGGGAATTCTGGGAGTTGAAGTCCACATGCCTTAAAACGGTCAAGGTTGAGAAACACTGTTAAATCTAAACACTCACCAGCTTGGGAATTGGCAGCTCCCGAACTGCCTGGCGCAGGGCGACTGCAGCGCGGAACTCCGGCGGTAGCCGCGGAAGAGGCGAGGAGGGCAGACGGGGAGAGGGCTCTCTTCACTGGAGCCGGCGAACGGAGCAGCATGGTCGAGGAAGAGGCAGAAGAAGGAGTGCAGCAGAGGTTAGACAGGGCTGAGCACAGGGACCTCAGAGAGCTCTGATACATAATAACGCTACGTACGGCACACGAGAACAGACGGAGAAATTAAAATTAAACAGCTCCGCAACGGGAGCGGGCTAAAGCTAACCTGCTCTGTGCCAGTACCGACTTCTTCCTGCCTTTCAGAGCCCGCAGAAGGGGCACGAATCGGGAAAGAGGCTCGGCTGCCCGCTGCAGTGGCAGAAAGATGCCAGCCCAGGAGAAGCCCACGGAAAGTGCCGCTAATAGCGGATACCGGGAACACGAGTACCAGAAGTACAGTCGCCCCCCCCTCCCGCCCTCCTGCCGGCATTGACGCAAGCGCCACTTCCAAGAGTAAGATGAGGGCGGGGGAAGAAGGAACTGAAACATTTCTCCTTCGGCTTCCTCATCTCGACGAATGGCACCCCTGTGAACGGAAGCTGCAGCGCGAGGCTAAAAAGGCAACTTCCACGCGAGGGAACCAAATAGAGAGAGAAACCTTGGGCTAGATACCTCAGCGTGCGTGTTTCTTCCTCCCCTCTAGGGAAAATGGTACGTTCTAATCTTGGCCCCGAAGTTCCCCCGAAAGGTCTGTTGGTGACGTCACATGGAACGTTGACTCGTTGGGTGGGGCGGGTGCGGGGGTGTTGGCCGGAACCTCCCCCTATTTTGGCGCTCGTGGGAAGGGAAGGGGGCGTTGTCTCCCGGGTGATCGAGGTCACGCGACGTTTGGGTTTGCCCTTTCATCTCATTCATTTTTCTACTCTCATTTTGTGGAGGAAGCAGGTCTTGGTGGAACAAGCTGATAAAACAGTGTTTCTCAACCTTGACAATTTTAAGGCATGTGGACTTCAACTCCCAGAATTCCACAGCCAGCAATGCTGGCTGTGGAATTCTGGGAGTTGAAGTCCACATGCCTTAAAATTGTCAAGGTTGAGGAACACTGTGATAAAAGCTTTCGATTTCCTATTCGCAATGTTGAGAATAGGGCTTGGAATGAGAGCTGAAGTCCTGCACATCTTACTAAATATGTCCAACTTTGTGTGTGTTTTTAAAACAATAATCGTGCCACTACTTTAGAAAGAAACAATAGATTTCTTTGGACCTTTTTCTAAAATCTGGGGGTCTCGAGATAAATTGGAACTACAAATCCCAGAATATCCAATCCCTTGACATTTAAGAATGCAGTCCCAACACATTTCGAGGCCAGCAATTGGGGACGACTATTTTATAAAAAAATACTCAACTATAAAAACATGCCTCATACAACAAAACAAACGTCATGCCTGAAATCTCAGGTACAGAAGCAACTTCATGCATACATAAACAAATATATTGGGAGGGACAGATTGAGTAAGGTTGGATTACGGTCTCTTTCCTCCTTACTAATCAGGAAACACACACCTAAAACTGATTGTGATGTTTTGGAAGAACATTGTTTTCTTTGTTACTAATGTTATAAATGTTACTGATGAATTACTTTTTGAATAGAATGAAACGGGTAACTCTGATTTTTAAACCACAATTCATTTCATTCTAAAATACAGTTTGATTAATCTAGTGATTGCGGGTTTGTACCATAGTTTAGGCAGTGTTTCTCAACCTTGACCATTTTAAGGCATGTGGACTTCAACTCCCAGAATTCCACAGCCAGCATTGCTGGCTGTGGAATTCTGGGAGTTGAAGTCCACATGCCTTAAAATGGTCAAGGTTGAGAAACACTGGTTTAGAGTTTAATGTGTAAACGCAGTCCCCTTCCTGAACTTCTTGAGGATCTGCTCCAGGGGAAAGGGGAAACTGGTTGAAGGAGGAAGAGACTGAGTTGCCGCCAAGTGGAGAGCTATGGAAAATCTCCGCCTCCCTGGAATGAGAGTTCAAAGAGCTGGATGTTGCTAACACTAGGTGAAAAACCAATGTTTGCTTCATTTGGTTGGATTGTTTAAAATGAATAAGATGGATGGGAGTGGCCGTATTACACTTGCCCTGTCATTGTATATTTTGTATTTGGGATTGGGAAAATATTTATTAAGCCAATTAATTATTGGGTTGACTTTGTAAACATTACTTTCCTGAGAGAGTAAGGACATTTGATTGCAGAGGGGGTAAAAAGGGAGAGGAGAATATTGTCAGGGGAAAATAAAGCGGGAGCTGGAGGATAAACCATTCCAGGGAGAGGTTAGAAGTGTTATGATTGATTTCTGGTGGACTTTTCCATCAGACCGTTTTCATGTAGATGAAAATGACAAGGGGATTAAATGGAGTTACTAATTTCTGTGGGGTAGAGGGGACCATTTTGACTTGCATTGTCTAAAATCAATCTGGATTAGAGTGATGAATAAATCTCATAAAAAACTAAACGGGCTTTAGAATTAGAGCATTCTAATGACCCTGATTGGTGAAAAGTCCCTGGTAATAAGGTGACCAACTTTTTTACAATGAAAAGGAGGACACAAATAAATTGAAGAAAAAAATATCGTAAATAAAAGAAACATTTTATTCATTGCAACAATAATACAGAATACATTATAATATGATAAATGCATAATAAAAACATTTGTAACAATAACATTTTATATTGTAATTATGCTTACATGCCGTGCCCCCGCCCGCAGCCACCCCACCAGCACTGCTGCCCTGCCGTGTAGAGCGGGCCCCGTGGCTCCCAAAGCACCAGCTGTGCCAGCTCCGGCCCCATGGGGCAGCCCGCCGTCAACACACCCTGCCTGCAGCCGCCCCGCCAGCACCACCGCCCATCCTGCGCAGCCCTGTGTATAGCAAGCCCCGTGGCTCCCACAGTATGGGGGGCAGCCGGCCACCGCCGCCCCACCGCCCCTGCCTCTTGCGCCCAGAGTCATTATTGCCCTAGCAGGGCCGAAGATGAAGAGAAACTTACCGTGCCATTGCCGCTCCACTCTCCTCCAGGTATCTTTGGGACTAACTAGGAGATGGTGTAGTTGGGTAGCAGGGAGGGATGCAAAGTTCCTGCCAATTCGCCTTCGCTGCAGACAACTTGCATGTGCAAAGTTTGTGGGCCGGGTGTTTTGGCGCGCTCAGCAGCAATTCCTATTGGCTTTCGAAAGCCAATAGGGGAAGTAGCACAGCTCATGCAAAAATTGAAAAAAACCATTAAAAAAAAGGTGCCGGAATGCCGTTCTGAGCATTCTATGAGAAAAAAAAGCCCTGCAGATTAGTCTTCAAATATCGAAAAGGAGGACATGTAGGAGGACACTTTTTGAGGGAGGACAGAGCTTACAAAAGGAGGACTGTCCTCCTTAAAGGAGGACGGTTGGTCACTTTACTGGTAAAGTGCTTCTTCACATGCTACTTGATCAATATAGTGCTATATACAGAATCTGCTGATACAAAAATGGCAATACCATTTTTAATGTCTTTAACAATAGCTATTTGTACTTAAGTCACAATGCTGGACTAAAAGGGTCTGTTGCATTTGGGATCTTCTAGAATCTAGATTGAACTCTTAAATAGAGTTAAAACTAACTTAATACTGGTCTCAACTCTAATAGTGCACAATCCCAGATAATTGTTAAATGCAGTGCGATGCAGATAGATTTAGTATATTGAAAGGTGAATCCTTAGCGTAAGACATGAAGACAAGCTATAATATTTTGGATTTAAATTGTAGCTCACTCTAATATGAACACTGGTTGCTTGAATTGCTCAAATTAATCTGCTTTTACTTTTTATTTTTTGAATGCTACTCTATGAGATCAGAATTATTATTTGGTTAATCTTCTCCTAACCTAAATGTAAACTAGAGAGTGCTCTGGATGTATCACAAGAAGATATTAACTAACCCTGTGTATTGTATACACAGATACCATCCAGATGAACTATCTGAATGATAGGTTACCTCTGTTAAAAAGGGTTGTCAATGTCTCACATGGCGACTAAAAGGTATATTGGGATCACAGCTGAAAAATTGGGGTGGGCCCATGGCCAAAAAAACCTAAATTCAATTTAGATAAGATATAGTAGAATAATACCACATTATAATAATCTCAGTGTAATAATCCTCTATTTTGATTATATTTAAAAATTATTAACTCTGAAGGGGCTTCTGAGGCATGCCCAAGATTTTCAGCTACTGAACCATTGATTTAAGCAACTTCTGATTTTCTTGAATTATATTTTAATTTGTAGTGTAGCCCAAGGAACACAAGGACTTCTTAGGTCAGAAATCCCACAGAGAAGCCTCATTGTAGAATTGAGCTGCATTATTAAACAGTTATTGTTAGAGACTTCTTTGTCTCCAGATGATTCATTTCTTGAGCAATAGTTCAATTCCAGGAAAGGAAAAATGCAGACATGCCCTTCTCCAAGCCTTGCCATTCAGGATGTGTGTAACTCCGAGCTGAAAAAATGAATCACACACAGAAACCAGAACTGAGAGGACGAGATCACATGAGGGAGTGAGGGTGGATGCAGGGGGGAGGGGACCGCTGATCATTTCTGAAAATTTATTAAGTAGGTTTTCTTTTTTGTTCTTTAATGAAATGCACCATATTTGTATTATTTGTTTATGTTTATTTGAAAAATTAATAAAATTTGTAAAACGAGAGGATGAGATCACAATTCTTATTTTTAGTGATTTCAGAAATTTACTGTGTAATTTTAATTATATCATGGTATATTCTCAGTAAATATTTTCAATTGTTAGGAACATTATGCTAGTCAGAGAGAGTCTCTCTATATATTAACAGTAGATTCCTCCCTCAGAAGGTTGTATTGGGAAAAAATGATCTTTTTCATGGATTCCTTTGTGTTATGAAGTTAAATGACTCATTATAGAGGTTAAATGACTCATTTTTCACTTTTATTTGTCAGATTAAATTGGCTTGATTAAACCTATGTTTCTAATGCTGTCCCTGTTCTTGCTGCGTTGGTTGATTTGGTTTCAATTTTAATTTATGACTTTTTAATACTGTGATTTCTACATTGCTAATTTATTTATTTTTAATTGTAAAGTAAATTGATTCATAGACCTTGCATATTATATGCATTAAAAATGGAATCCAAATATGTAAAGAAACATTGGTTTATTTCACAGTATGGTTTTATTTGTTATGGTT